CATATTTGGGAAGTTTTCTGCTATTACTTCTGCCCATATTCTTTCTATATCATTTGTATTGACTCCTTCCTTCTCATTGATGCCTATTAGTCTAGGCTGAAATTTAAAACGAACAAGTTGAGAACTTGAAAAGAAGTTGAGAAAGATCATAGAGAAAAGAATAAAAACCAAAAATAGAAAGACACAATTAAGTCTTTATTGTAGGCAGCAGAGAGTGGAATCAAGGCTGCAGATCCAGGCCCAAGAAGGCATAAGGAGAACTTGTGAAGCTCCCCAGAATGCAGAGAAGCAGGGTAAAAAGACAACAGTGAAAGACAGGGGTGAGAACTAAGGAGGGAAACGGATGACATCAGCTCCATAGGCATCTCTGAAGCAGAAGAGATTCCAGTATTGTCACTAAGGATATTCCTGTTGAAGACCCTCCCTGGGGAAAGAGGAAGCTAGGCTGCTCAGAATGTCAGAACGGCCACATGCTCAACTCAAATCGATGAGAATCAGTCCTCACCTAAGTATTCTGGGGAAAATATTTTCATCTCAATAATAAATTTTAAAAGTTTTCCTTACAGCTAGGTTATAGGCAAGGGACAAAAAAACTAGACTGACCTCCAGAAGCTGAGGGATGCTGAAAATGAAAATCAAGATTTTCCTACAAAACTCCAACGAAGGAGAAGGTGATGCGCAGGGGTTAGGGCCATAGCATAGTGGCAGAGGGGTTAGGGCCATAGCATAGTGGCAGAGTGTGGCCAGCATGCAGGAGGCCCGGGGTCCATCCCTGGTGCTGCACAAGAAGAGGAAAGGAAAGAGACCAAAGACAATCAAGCATCTTTTATATGGAAAAGCACCCCAATGAACACCCCAGTTTCCAGAGCATCAATGCAACCTCGGTGAGCAAAATTATTGAGAGTGATCAGATTAACAACTTGAACTACTTGTGCCATCCTTGCTCATCTGTGTGCTGTGGAGAGCTCCGCAAACCAGCAGAGACTCCGCCCCGTCTCTTCTCACTTCCCTCCAGGAACAGGAAATGTGTCTTACTCCGTGTCTTCACTTTGTTTAGAGGAAAACTTCTTGCATGTGATGACCATGTGTGCTCACCGTGCCAAAGTGTTCCTCCCAATTGGGACATTGTTAGGAAAACGTTCGTGGACACACTTCCAAGCTTCTTTGTGTAGCACACAGAGGACCCGTGCTCGTTGCCCATGGACTGGAGTGATTTTGAATCTTTCAAAATTGTGCACTTAATTAACCAAATCATTGGCCTAATTGATAAATATCAGAGGCAGATACTCTCTTCGTGTTGTTCTGCTTCTAGAATCTGAGTTTCCCTCATGGAATGTGCTTAAAACTCAAACAGGCAATATGATCTCGATTATGTTCAAAAATACACAGTAAAAAAAGCTGTCAAGACCTATGCCAGTAGATGAGCAGTGATTATCCATAAGTGGTAAGAGATCTAAAATCTCTTACTTGTAGGCTGCACAGTAGGTTTTCACCTGTACCTCCGTCTGTAATGTTGCATCTGCCATCTGATTATGACTGTATAAGAACAGATGTACCTCAGAAGAACTGGCAGCAAACCCTTCCACATGCTAACAGCAATGATGTCTAGGAGGCGATAGCATGTGAAACGAGTTCATTTTCTTCCTTTTCCATTTCCATGCTTCCAATTTTTCTCTAATAAACATGAAAATGTTGACAACATCAAGAATGAAGATGCTATGGAAAGCTTCACTTTTCAGAGTCTGACAGACCCTGCCCTGGGGATAGGGGAACCCCGAACCTGCCTCCTGTTCAAATCCCAGGAGATCCTTGGCCACTCCAGCAGCTGCTTTTCCTTCTGGTCTCCTGTGTGGTCAGGACAGCATCCTGGACCTCTTGGCCAACAACTTCCAGGAGCACCGTGGAAGCTCTCACAAGCTCCAAGAGGCTTCCTCAGAGGCTCCTGAGGAGCCCTGCCTGGCCCCATGTGGCTGTTCCCTCTACCAAAGACACCCAGGCTCCAAGAGGTGAGGGGTCAGCACTTGAGACCACAGCCTGGCTGTGTTTTCCTAAGCTGAGAGCAGCTGCTTGCAGACAGAAAGGTGAAATGTGAACTAAAAACAGTGTTGCTGGCCCAGGCCGCAGGGAGCTGAGGCAGACACAACAGAGGGGTGGAGGAGCTGAGGACAGACAGCGCTCACCGCCCCCACATCTGCTCTCCATCAAGGCTGACCTGGGCCCAGCACCCCACCCCCGCATGTCGCAATCCCGCCAGCATGGCAAGACCAGTCCAGTGGGTTCACTCAGCACCGAGGCCGAGGCCGTGCCTTCCAGGGCTTTCGATGGCCCCAGGGAAAATTCATGTGCACCTGAAAAAGGCAAGAAACCTGTGCCAAAGCAGAACAAGACATGGCCAGAACTGTCCAGAAGAAGTCAAGAAAAATGTGTTCTTCATGTGTGTCTGTCTGTCCCTTCACTTCCTTCCTTCAGGAGTGGTAAAGTCCAAGCCACTAAAACTTCTAGATGATTTAGTAGGACCCAATCTGTCCTTTGAGCATTTGTTTTTAATCTTTTTAAAAGCAGGATTCCGCCTGATACAAATAAGTGACTGGGTTTCAGGTAAAGCTCACTTTAAATCAACTGCTTTTCATCATGCCACCAGGGCCCTGACAGGAAAGGCAACTCCACCTAGGGGTGTGTTGAAGAGGCATGAGAAGAAACCCCCAAACAGAGGTGACAGTCAGGGACTGACAGTGCTGGAGGCCATCAACAGCCCCAAGGAAGGGACAAGAAACATTGCTAGTGACAATGATGAGGAATGCAGGGAGGATTTGAACCCTCTCATGCCCCCAAAGCCAAGATCATGACCTCCCTACTCCTACTTGGAAAGTGTGACATTAGTAGGTACCACTGGCCTGGTAGGCTGCCCAGCCCAAGTCCCCAGTAGCCCATCTGTGGCTTAGCCTTCAGCATTGAGTGAAGCTATTTGGAAGGTGCAGATCTGTACACCTTTGTCCAGGTGTCAGTGCACCTCCCTTCTTCAGGCCACAGAGATCTCAACCCCAGGTAGATACATAGACCACTGGCCAGCCCAGGGGCCATGGAACAGTTCCCAGCTCCTTGACAGTTCCAGCCCCCAGCATTTTGGAGAAGGTACTGTGGACTGAGAGCATGATCAGAAGCCCCAGAGTATCTGAGCGCACTCTGCAGCTCTCCTCTCCCCCTCAAGTTTCCATCAGGCAGAGAGCAGAAGATGGGCTCTGCGAGGATCTGCCTGGGGTCTTCACCTCCCCAAGGCAGAGCTCTGCAGTAAGAGCTGGGTTAGAGCTGGGTGCTGAGCCAAGGCCCTTTCTTCAGTTCCCATAGCTCTCTGTAGACATGCAGGTGGCTGGGTTGTATCACCCAGCAAGTTCCATGGTCAGCATTGGAGGAGGGGCAGGAAGCAGAGCAGCTGGGCCACCAGGCAGCATTAGGCCTGGCAGTGCGATGGAGGAGCAGGAGCCACAGAGCTAGCCGGAAAGGCTCACCAGCCCCATTAGGGTCAGGCTGCCCAGAAGGGACTCAAGTCTCAGACAACGCAATCAACCCCCTTCCAGGGGAAGACAGAGTTACCAGGGAGTGGCACAGGGAAATCTTGGTGAATGCAGAAGTCCCCTTCTGGCTGGTCCCTCAGGGAACAACTTGCTTTGAGAATTAAGCTCTGTAAAGGGTCACAGTCAATTTCCTGGGCAGAAAATCATTAACTAAGAGCTAACAAAAACCTTGGTAAGTGCTAGACTAATCCTTTTTCCAAGTTACTGAAAGAGATAACCCACTTCTCCATATGAAAATATTTGGAAATGGCCTTTCATGAAGTGTTTGGAAATGTATTTCACTGAAGTAGGAACTTCTAGCATGACATCCACCATCCTGGCAGATTTATGAGTGTGCTACACAGTGTCATTGACCAGAGACAGAAAGGACAGCAGACCTCCAGAACTCGCTCATCTCCTACAGGGGATATGAGGGGTGATTCAAAGACATGGCGAGTGCTTAAATTTGAAAAATGAAACTTATTAGAGTAGAAGACACATTGCTAAGAATGATAGAATAGGTGTGTTCAAAGTGAAGGAGAGTACTTTGAAAGAGATTAATGGGATTTTACTGTAATAAAATTTTTTATTTAAACATGCACCATAATTTTGGCCAGCCTTCATTAATCAAGCATTTACAGTAATTTCTATCAAATAAACACATTACTCGGTGCCTTCGTCCACCTTAGGCACTAGAACTGGCCAACACGGCACTTCTAGCTTTTCCCTAAACTCAGAATGACCACGAACATCAAAGGTTTCACATGGATCCAGAACACAAGACAACCACAGTGACGGCTAAAGATGTTCCTAAAAGAGAACTTCCAGAGACACTTCTGAAAGCAGAAAGAACAGTGAGATAACTGTTCAAAGGGAAGATGAGTATTCTAGGGGTACTGGATTCTGCAGTACTCATAGAAATGTGCCTTCCGCTGTAACTTTTTTTTTTTTTTTAATTTCAGTGCCCATGATTTCTCCAGCACACCTTGCAGGCGAGCTAGCACAGCATTTGTTCTTTTGTATCTGGTGCGTGCTGTCCATCCTAATATCCTCCAGGTCCCTCCTGCTGCAGCAGCTTGAAAGGATACAGAAAGCCCTTCCCAGGGAGCAGCTTCCTACACAGTCACTGGCCACCTGCTGGGAGGGGGCACAGGGAACCCCCATGTGGAGCAAAGGAGCGGGGAGCCCCTCCCTCCAAGCAGATGGCTGACCTGAGGTTGCTATTTATGGTCTCTGGATGTCAGTTTGCTCTTCTGTAAAATCAAGTGATTGCATTCCATGCCGCGGAGGTCTCCACCTTCGTGGGGTTACGATTCTGTGTGGATTCAGATAAGGCAGTGAGCGCGTGTCCAGGGGGACGAGACGGTGCACGTCCGCGCATGAACTTTCAGAGGTACATTTCCTCCCCGAGGTCCTTGCTGTTTGGGGAAAAGAAATCTACTTAATGGTTGTTCCCACACTGAACTCCGTGAAGAGTGTTGTTTCCAGCATCTTTCTCCAGGTTGCTCTTTGTTTCCCTCGGAAAATGCCTTAATATAAATGTTCAGATCATTATAGAAAGGGAATCCCTCCTGATGAGCTCAGGGTCCTGTAGTAATTATGTTAAGCCAGCCCTTTTATTACTGGTTAATGAAATTCTTTTATAATTGAACCAGCTTTAAGTAAGCAGATTTGCATTGATTTGGTACAGTATGGAGCTCAAGCCTCTCTATCTAAGCAAATGAAAAGCTTCGAGCCTATGAGGCCCAGCTAGTGCAGCAGCATAGTCCAGGCTGGGAAGTTGATTCCAGCGTTCCCTGTCGGAGCACCTCGCTTGGGGAGTCCATGCTAGTTAAAGAGACATGGCCAATTTCTTGGGCAGAAAATAAAATTAATTAGAAGGAAAGAAAACATAGGTTTGAGGCTGGACTAAACTTTTTGCCAAGTCACCAAAGACAATTTTTATAATGGAAAAATCATCTTGGATGCCTTTTGTATCCATCTCGTACCCTTGAAATGACTTGCAGAGGCGAAGCTCCTGTGCTACCCGCTCGTCCCAAGCAGTTCCGGTGCTTGGTCCTCGAGAAGGCTGGGGCCCCATCAGCTGCAGCCCACACTGCAGCCCGATGCCATCCGTTCTCCCCACCAGTCCCAGGTGTGGGCCCAGCACTCAGGGGACCTCTGGGAGTAGAAGTATCAGCGCTACCACTAGGGGGCTCTTTCTGCCTCAACTACTTCAACTACATTTCGGGACAGTGGAGTATCCACCTGATAGAGTCAAGTGGAGGGAAGGCCATGGCTGAAAGCCCTGAACACTGAGCTAAGGGCCTGAAAACTCAGCCAGCATCACCAGGCTTGCTGTCATTGTCATTGTTATGGACAGCAAAGGAATTCACCCTTGTTCGCTGTCCCCAAACTGCTGTGCAGAAACCCTTCCAGTTCCAGACTCAGTAGCTGCTCACTGGGAGGTGAGTAGCAGCCACTGGGGGCCACTGATGGAGACGAAGCTCCTGGTGTCGTCACAGACCTCTTCTCCTGAGGTGAGACATCCAACCAATATCTCTCAACCACACTTCAAAGTCTGTGAGTGAGGCTAGAGGGCACTCCCAGAGAAGGTCTGTGGAAGGACCAGCCTCCCCAGTTGCCTGCTCCCATGGTGAGGGCTGTGACATAGAGGTGGCCAGACCAACAGCCACAGAGGGGAGCCAGAAAGGTGCCCAGGATCAGAGCCCACTGTGCTGTGCAAAGGATCAGAAGCCTTCATGGATTCTGTCTTACGGTTCCAATGTCTGAAAACTCAACTTTTACTGCCTCTGTGGCAGAATGAAAGAAGACAGGCAGTCTCTCAGCAGCTTCTCCTGCCTCACTTGGAAGAGATCCATTCAGGTTGAAGCAGGATATTAGGGAGTGTCAAACTGGCTGAACAGGGGCCGGTGAGATAGCTCAGTGTACTAAAGTGCCTGCTTAGGCAAGCTTAGGCAAGTGCAGGGACCATGGTTCAATCCTGGGACCACATGCCACACCAGCTGTTCTGGCTGAGCCAGCCAGAGTCCAGGCATAGTGGTACAAGCCTGTAATCTCAGCACTGGGGAAGCTGAAAGCAGGAGGATCACTATGAGTCTGAGCTGAGTAGTAAGACCATACAACAACCAAATAAATTCTTAAAAATTAAAAAAAAAAGAAAAAAAAACTGGCTGAACAAGTGGACGTGACCTGCCACTCACAGAGATCCAGGATATAGTGAAAGAACACAGCTCCCAAGCCCTGCACCTGGAGCCAATCAGAGAGCGCTATCTCCAATTTTTACAGCTTGAAATCAAGCAAGCTTTTGATAGGAGGGCCTCAATCTGACAGCAGCCTGAAGAATGAGGATAAGAGAGGCAGCCGCCCTTGGTCTTGCGCCCCCTGTGAGCTCTCTCCAGGCACTTTCACTAGGCACAGCATACTTATTTTTCTACCTTTAATAGATGTAAAATCTTGCTGCCTTTCTTGTGCGTCATCCAATTCTTTGTCCAGGCCAGAAGGACCTAGAGTGTACAAAGCTCCAGAACCTGGTGATAGTGTTACTTTTGCTCACAGCCACATGGCCTGGCCCAACCTCTGGAGCAGCTGGAAAGTACAGGGGAACTCATAGGTATTTGGCAGCATAACTGTCCCCAGCTCTGCCAGGCAAAGTGTCATGTTTGCCTTCCGTGTTTACTAAAACCCTTGTCCTATCCCCATAATCCCCAGAGGGATGCCACACTCTGTCTTATACCCACCCACTTTCTTTTGGCTTAAATACATTCTTAAATATTCATATAATTGGTGTTAAAATTAATGTTTTATTAAGTAGACTATTATATGCTATGGTGTTAATGACATGGTATTATGATGTATGCACTTATGATAGTGCTATAAGATTTATAAGTAAAATAAATGATGAGGGAATGTTAATTCTATTACTATACCAAATACTAACATTCAATTACTAATCTAAAATCTAGACATTATGTACTTCTGGAAAATGTTCCAATTATAAATTATTGCATTGTACGTGGCTAAATCTCAGAGTAGGATCATAGATTTAGATCCAAAATTAATCTAATTAAACCCTATAACTAATAAATTACTCCATTCAGTCTCCTTTTGAATACTTCTACTGACAAAAACTGCTCAAATTCACTTGACAAAGATAGGACATTAGAACTGGTAGATGTTGAGAAAATTTCAAGGACAGATAAATTCATCTGGGGATAAAAAGAACAAAGGAGACGGGCTAAGTGACTTCTGGGCCCTCAGTGGCCAAGCCAGCCTGCAGTCACCATGTCCAGCTCCCAGGAACCCCAGCTCCTCTCTGAGCCTAAGAACCTGAACCACAGAATCCAGTTGGTGGGGACAACCCAGTGCCACTTATGCACTAGGACTTCTGTAAACTCTGGTATTTTATCTTAAAAAGTCATACGATTTCTTTTATATTCCACTCCATAAAATACTATAAAATAATTAATTACATGGATGACCTAAGGAGCTTTGTACATTTATTTGTTCTGTGGCAGCTGCTGCCTCCAAAAGTCCTGGACTTAATACTTCCAGCCACACTCCCTGACCTACCCTGAAAAGCAACTATAAAGCTCGGGATGAAAGCATCCCTTAAATTCACTCAAAAAGTTTTACTTCATGAGCTCAACAAGTGCTTCCTGAAAACCAACTGTGTGGCATCGCTGAGCCGAGCCCTGATTATATCTTGCCTCATTCTAGCTTCATCAGTGTGCTGTTCAAGGACCAAGAAACAGGTCCAAAGAAGCTCAGCTAGTCCTCCTGGCTCCTTCAGCCAGTCAGTGAGTGGCAGACTGGACTGTAACTCTAGGTCTGGGTGTACGATTTTTTTTTTCTTTTGGAAGAACCAGGAATTGAACTCAGGCCCTTGCACTTGCCAGGGAAGTGCTTATTCTACTGAGCCATCTCGCCAACCCCTACTAATTTTTTTTATGTGTTTAATACAGGGTCTCACTACACAAATCGGACTTGTACATAGTGATCCTGTTTTTCAGCCTACCAAGTGCTGGAATTGCAGGCATGCACCACCACACCCAGCCTCATTTGCCTTCTCAGAGTGCCCCAGAACAGCAGGTATAATCTTCATCTAAGTCAAAACTCACTTGTTTTCAAGTGATATTGACTCCAGAAAGCTTGTCACGTTATTGGGGAATTCTTGAAGAAAGCTAGCCTCAGTGATACATCTCCACGCGGGACTTCACTTTTCCCAAAGTACAGATTCCTCCTGCTGCATACTCCATCTGGAGGGCTAAGGGGGCTGTGGGTAGGAAAGCAACACAGTGTAAACCATGAGCCCAGAAAGTACCAGAAGCTGTGGGCTGGATCACTGGCCTGGATCAGGCCTGCACCCGTGTTGTAACCATCACCGTTCCTGGGGACTGGATAAGTACAGCTAGATAGCCCCAGCCAAAGGGCAGGAAGGAAGGTGGCCTCACATAGAAAGCACATCTGCCCGGGTGACCACCCCCATTCTGGTAGCTGGAGTAAGGGTGGGAGAGGGGGTTCTGGTGATCAGCAGCCCTGTGCATGGCAGGGCCATGCAGTTCAATGGAAGAGATTCCTGGTAGGATAAAAGGAAGGTGGTGGGAAGGAGAGGGAGAGAGAAGAAAAGGGAGGGGAGAAAGAAGGGAAAAGGAAAGGAAAGGAAAGAAAAGAAATGTCTTCCTCAGTCACTTGCAACAACTAGCGAGGTTGTCTGAAAACTAACCCTCCAAACAAAACTCAGTGTGCTGGTCCTCAGTGCTCTTCCACCACTCTATCACAGAAGCAGGAAAAGTTATCCAGCACATGCCCACATCCCACATCCCACATTTTGCAGTTACACTGTTGAAGGATTTCGTATGTAGCCCAAGCCAAAGGGCAGGAAGGATGGTGGCTTCCCACCAAGAGCAAAATCAGCTAAAATCCTTACCCACCTCACTGACCCAGAGCCCAATGGCCAAAGTCCCAAGTTAACACTCTTTGCATGGCAAGAAGAAGGTTTGCTTGGTTCTCCATGACCTCTCCCACAGGGTGCTGCTGCTCAGGTGCCTGCCCCTGCCCTCTGTGTCCCTGGCCCCAGCTGTCCCTCTGCAGGGCTGTTCAACCCAGATCCCAAATGCGCAGACAGGAGCCGGTAGCAGTTTGGCAGCACTGAAGTCCATTCCCCAAGCCAAACCCCACACTTGCCAATAACTATTTCCATTACTGCAGCTGAGACAAAGCCCAGCGCCCTGTTGGGACCATGCAGCTGAGCAAAAGCCGTAATGAGCCCAAGAACTATGGGCCATCCTGGCTGAACCACGGCTCAGGGTCAGAGTTGCCAGGAGTCAGGGAAGAAAGAAGACCGTGCTCTGCCTGAAAGATCAAAGCAAGGGGCATTTTTGATCAGAATTGTGCAGGCAAATATTTTCACCTCCAATTTATTCTGATTATGCAGAGTAGACCTGAGAGGGTCACAGCCATTAGAGAGACAGTCACTCATCTCTCCTAGGCCAGAGGGACAGAAGTCCTTCCTGCAGAGTCCTGAGAGAAGCAAATGTCCCACCAGCCAGGCTGTGGGAGGTGACAGAGGAGCAGAGTGCTGTACCCCTACTTCTGGGCTTGTCACCCTAAGATGAGGAGCAGAGGCTGGAGCTGGAAGGGACCTCAGACAGCTCCTCTGGATCACTCTTGGGCACACACCATCTGCCAGTGAGTGACCAAATGGCCATCGCCCTACCCTGCCACCTGCCTGCCCCCTCCCCAATGCTCACCATTGAGCATGTTCATGGGGAGAAGACTCCAAATCCTGGCGAGAAGCCCACAGAGCCTAGAGCCAACTCAAGAAACTGGGATAAATCTGTTGCTGTCTCAGTGGGTTCTGAGGGTCACAATGAGCTTCAAGGAGCCTCAGGAAAAGGGCAGTTCTCCAAGTGGCAGAGACACCAGGACTGAAGCCGTCCAGGTCAAGGCAGGGGCAGTGTGTGTCTCATAAGAGTCCTCATGGGCACATGATCCTGGGCTACTCTGCAGGGATTTCTCTTACTATATAGCAAGCACTGGGCTCCTACACAAGTTTGCTGGTGGATTTCGTATAACAAGCCTGCATGCTGTTCTCATTTTATAATAAGAAACCCAATGCTATAGAAGAATCTGTTGAAGTAAAACTTCTCCCCACATACCAGAGGTGGCATTAAAATCCAGACCTCTCTGTGCTTCTGCAGAATCACAAGGCCATATGAACAGAGGCAAACAGAGGCAAATGATGAACAGAGGCAAATAGTCACTGACACCTGGACAATCATTAAATTAAGAAAAAAGCCTGATAGGGAAGCATGTATCACATGGACCAACGTAACACCACAAAAAAAGAGGGGACCAGACATGGTGCTGCCCAGTGTAACACAGGAGGAGCTAGGAAACTCCAATTTGTCCAGCAAGGCTCAGAAATGAAGCCAGTGAAGGGGGGTATAAAATAATAAGAGAGGACCTGGAGTTCTAGCTGGGCAGAGTCCTGAATGTTGGGACTTGGCATAAGTAAGTCACCAGGTAAGTGAATTACTATTGGAGTTTGCAAAAGGAAATGGCATGTGTGGGTTATGGGCTGAAACCCAAGTCCCCATTTCAGAATAAGCCTCATTCACCAACTTTTCTAAGCTTGATCCAGAAATGCTAGAAATTTTGTGACTAATAACACACATGCCGAGAGCAGCCCTCAGCGAGAGAAGGTGGGGTGCAGTCGGGTGCTGGGATCCACGGGCTCCGCACTCCTCTCTTTGCCTGCAAACGCACCATGCAGAAGCATGCACTCATCTCAAAAAAGAAATAACCAAAGTCCTCAGTGCATTGCCATGTCAACAGATTGTCAGAGCTGCTATTTGAAATCCTAGCCAAATAAACTTATTGTTCTAAACACTGCCTGAGCATGGTGAGAACCGGGTCACTGTTTGGAAAGGTGGAAGCGACTTGCATTTTTCCTTGTATATTTTGACATTTTTGCAGGGTCAACAATGGCACTGAGAAGGCTAGATTTGTGTCATCCCTTCGGGAAATGAAGAATGCCAAATATTTCTCTTCCAAATAAAAATGTCTCTTATAGGTCCAAGGAGAATCTTAGAGGCCTAGAATACTTATAATGCTTTGCCCCTGTGAACCCTTCGCTCAGTGTTAAATATTAATGTTTTCCATCAGTAAATACAAGAGGGTGGGACACACACACACACACACACACACACACACACACACAGTGTGTGTCCTTATCCAAATGGAAAGGACAACACATTTTTAACTGAGCTTCATTGCATCTGAGACACTCCTGACTGTGAGACACGTCATTGATTATGATATGTTCTTGATATAAGATGCCTCTTCATTTTCAGGACATTAAATATCCGTTGACGAACCATAGTGTCCTTCTGTACTACAGAGCTCAATTACACCTTCCATAAATCCTGCTTAGTCACGGGCACTTGCGGAAATGGCTGCCATCCCTGTTGCCACACCCAGGCACATGACCCAGCAAGAACTCCTGAGATCAGAGCCCTGCATTTGGAGTTGGAAGACTCTGGCTAAGAAGCCAACACTGTCATGTCCTCCGGCGCACACGGAGCCAGGCTGCTGGTCTCCCAGGCTTCTTAATCTGTCCAATGGAAGGAATAACATGCACAAGGCAAAATTATCATAAAATCAGATTATAGCCCTGTGTAAACGTCACTAGGCCTGAGTCTGTCACAGACCAAGGAACAGCTAGGCGCTGGCTGCATCTGAATCCGGGAGGCTGCACTGCACCCATCACGTGTCACACACCAGGGCAGATGCTAAGTGGGAACAAACTACAGGCAAGGCAAATCCTTACTGGGACCCTCCGTGCTTTGCAGTGCACTAGTTCTCTAACTTGAGCACGCATTCGAATGGCCTGAAGGGTAGCTGTGACTGCACATGTGACCTTGCTCATCCCCAGAGCTCTTGGTACGGGACAGGGGAGAGTTTGCAGTCCAAGTTCCTGCCCTGTCCTGACTCTGCTGTTTCTGGCACCACACTGTGGGAACCACTGTGGAGAACAGAGAACTCTTAGTCTAACAGAGCAAAGAAGGGAAAAAATCTCATAAACAGCAACATGTGTCTGTGTCACTGATGTGGCACAATGGGGTCTTGAAGCCCCAGAAGGTGACAGGGTATCCTGAGTGGCTGGCCTCCCTTAGGACACTCAGTGCCCATGCCCTGAGTAGCTTACTTTGCCCTTTGATAGACAGGAGTAACAAACCATCAAGGTAAATGGGCATCAGGGGAAAGGGAAGGAAGGTGTGGGTGGTGAGACACCCAAGCATCTAGGGGGAAGATGACAAAAGAAAGTGCCCAAGGGAATGAAGGGATATGAGGAGTGTTGTAATGGCCATGGTCCTGAGGGGTGCCTGTGGCATGGGGTGCAGGTAAGGGGTGCATGTTTTAGATATGGGAATGAACATCTGGAGTAGGGTCCAGGCCATAGAACCCAGGAAGTAAAGATAGACAGTGGCCAGTTTCAAAGAGAGACTTCCACAAGCTCCAAGTTTGGATCCCAGTAGGCTCAAGTAAGGGGACTGCCCAGTGAGATGAATGACCTCAAGCATGGTGGAAACACTGGGCAAAACCAGCCCGTGTGAGGAGAAAGAGGTGTGGAAGATGGGGAGGAGCTCAGTCTAAGGTAGTGCATGGATCCTTGCAGCCCCTCTGAGATGTGTGTTCAAGCTCAGAGAGAGGGAAACTGCAAGGGAAGAGGCCAGCGTAGTGGAAGGGCCTGAGGGAGACAAGGTCAGGAGAAAATTGGGCTAACCTTCGGCAAGGATTCAAAGCAACCAAAGGATACCAAGAGCAGCCCACTTTATTGAGCAAACCATGTACCGAGCCTGCCCCACATGTGACAGAACCAAGAAATTGACATTCCCACAGCAGGTAGACAGGCAGCACCCATGTGAGGTCACAGCTGGTAGGTGGCACCAGAGGACACTGAACCCAATGTGTACACTGTGGTGCGGGGAGGGGTCCCGGGCGGCTTCTTGGAGGAGGTGGCACCTCCCTGCGAATGGAAAGATGAGCAGGAGCCAGTACACAATGACCAGTGAGAGGGTGGCATTCTGCTCAGAGGCAGACAGTTTTCAAAGGAATAGACACTACTTAGTCTGGTTTAAAATGATAGTCATTTGTTATTGCCTCCTCTTTTTCTTTTTTTCAAAAAAAAAAAAATCACTTAGAAAGAAAACCAAGAGAATGTGATGTCCAATAGCCAAGAAGGAGGAGCGGTCAGAAGGTTGAGACTCTGCAGACCCCAAATGCCACCTGGTGTCACTTCACCAAATCTCTGGGAAAGGAAATGCAGTAAACAATGAGTAAGTCATTGAAGGGGCCAAGGGGGTAGCTCAGTGGAATAAGTGCTTGCCTGGCAAGGATAGGGTCCTGAGTTTAATCCCTGGTACTGCAAAAAAAAAAAAAAAAAAAAAAAAAAAAAAAAGACAGTCAATGAAGCTTAAGGCAGAGGCACCACTAAAGATGAAAGTGCCCAGGGCTAACCCACTTGGGCCCCCTTCTGTCCCTCTCTAGGACAGGAGCTTCCCTCCCCCATCCCAGTAAATATACTCCACTCTGAAAAAAAAAAAAGATGAAAATGCCCAGCACTCTAGGAGGCTGGGGCAGGAGGATTGATAATTCAATCTCAGTCTAGATAATTTAGCAAAATTCTATCTCAAAACAGAGCAAAAAGTGTTTAAAGAGCTGGGGTGCAGCTCAGTACAAGCCCCAGTACTGAGTGAAAGGGAAGAAAGAAAACAAGGGAAGATAGAGACAACTGAAGGAACAAAAGAAAGGAAGGAAGGTCATATAATGACAAAAGGGACAATTCTGCCAGGGCAATGTAATGACCCTGACCGGCACGGCTGTGGTATCTAGCATCAGGTCAGCTCCAAGCAAAACCTGACACAATTATAGAAAAAAAATATCACATGCACTAGCAGAGTAAAAAGTTTTAGCACAATTGTCGCAGAAATAAATAGAACAAGTCTATGAAAGTCAA